CCTATAGTCCCAGCTACTCAGGAGGCTGAGGCAAGAGAATTGCCTAAGCCCAAGAGCTGGAGGTTGCTGTGAGCTGTGATGCCACAGCACTTTACCAAGGGTGACAAAGTGAGACTCTATCTCTTAAAAAAAAAAAATTAAAGTAGTGATTTCTCTTTTAACACAGTAGTGATATATCACTTGAATACTGAAAATCAGCTTTTGTGATATTAAATCCTAACAATCATGGAAATCTTTTTCTTCAGCAGTTCATAATCACTTTAAAAGACTTAAAGAATTCTGACATAGTCAAATTATTCTGTGCTTTTCTCTCATTGACTCAAGTATGCACAGTTTTGAATTATTAACTTTTGGAAATGTGTATGTATGTGTATTTATGATTTCTGTAAATGATCTCAAAGTGTTCCCCTTTCTTTCTTTCTTTTTTTTTTTGGCCAGGGCTGGGTTTGAACCCGCCACCTCTGGCATATGGGGCTGGCACCCTACCCTTTTGAGCCACAGGTGCCGCCCTTTCTTGTATTTATAGATGAACAGAGGTGAAAAACAGACTGACAACCCCAAGGGAACTTTTTCTCACTGTGTAGTTGTGGTTTTGGCATATTACTTCTGAGATTCAGCAAGCCTTTTCATTTGGGTACTCACACCAAAGTCCTTCTGTAAAGTAAGAAAAACTAAGGCTCACTAAACAACTCAAAAGCTTAAACACAACAGCAACAATTAATATTGTATAGTGCTCCACAGTTGAAAATATGTTTACTTGGCTGGGCGCCCATAGCACAGTGGTTATGGTGCTGGCCACAAGCACTGAGGGTGGTGGGTTCAAACCTGGCCAGGGCCTACTAAAATAACAATGACAACTGCAACAAAAAAACAGCTGGGTGTTGTGGCAGGCGCCTGTAGTCCCAGCTACTAGGAGGCAACTTTATAAAGTTCCTGAGTCTTCAGAAGTGTTAAGACTGAGAAACTGTCACAGATTTGAAGAGGCTACAGAGACATGACAACTAAATGTAATATATGGTATTTCTGTATTAGACCTTGGAACAGGAAAAGGATATTAGTGTAAACATCCAAATATGGTCTTCAGAATTTAATTAATGGTATTGTAGCAATGCTAATTCCTTAGTTTTGATGGATGTACTATATATAAGATGGTAACATTAGAGGAAGATGGATAAAAAGTATATAAGAACATTCTGTATTATCGATGAAACTATTCTCTAAATCTAAAATAATTTCAAATAAAAATTTTATAAAATAACTACAAATTTCTTGACTGTATTTGAAAGAAAGACAAAATAAAAGCTTCTTTTAAAATAACATGAAGACCTGTATTTGACTTAGGCAGAGCTCCATGAATTATTACAGTGAACAAAGTATGAGACTGGATAGATTAAAATTATTATTTTCTTTGTTCATGCTTATAGATAGAGTATTTCTACACATTTCTATTCTCTTTGTGACACTTAAATGAAATTGTTTCTCTTGGGCGGTGCCTGGGGCTCAAGGAGTAAGGGCACCAGCCCATATACCAGGGGTGGCAGGTTCAAGCCTAGCCCCAGCCAAAACTGCCAAAAAAAAAAAAAAAAGTTGTTTCTCTTAAGGGAGGAATTCTGGCAAAATTAAAAGTGATTTTTTTTTCTCCTAACTCAGTATTTGTTTTTCTCTCTTTCTTTTCTCTGTAGTGGATAGTTATTCTAGATGCTGGGTCTCAAACCATGAATAGGCCATAGGGAAGAAACAGTTTCTTCAGGAACTATATAAACTTAGCAGCATGGAGGGTGAATTATAGGGAGGCAATAGGATACTTGGAAGGAACACTAGTTTGACCTAGCCTTGAATCCTAAATCTGTCACTTTGTAATCTCTTAGAGTAGCTTTTTATTATGTAAAGTGGTTATTGTGAAGATTAAATAAGTCATGTAATGCACCTGTAGGTAGTAGACATCCAATAAAAATTAATGAATTAAAAAATATTGACTTTACACAATCAGGACTTTGCTATGAATAAACTGGAGAATATATGGAGAATATAAAATGCATGGGATAAAAAGTTCTATAATGTCAAAAAGCTTTAAATCTCTGGGGAGAGATAAAACATACATGAATGAGGCTGGGCTTTGTGGCTCATGCCAGTAAATTAGTACTTTAGGAGGCTGAGGAGGGAGGATCTCTTGAAGCTAGGAATTTGAGAACAGCCTGGGCAACA